GCAGATTTAAAATACTGCCCCCAAATGACACAACACATGAACTACATGTAGAAGTGAGTCTACAATACACAGCATATGACTACCAATGCAGGATAATGCACATACACATTTCCTGATAAACAGAAAATATAATTTTATCTGAGAAACTCCAACTAATGAGAGTTACTGTGTACATCTGAAGAACTAAACTACTAATCTACACTAATAAAGTGTGTTAATGATCACATCTGGACTCACCGAGCCTTTTGGCAGTTCCTCACAGCTGGAATCAGTCTCAGTTGTCCCTGCTCTGATATGTTGTACCTCCGAAGGTCAAACTCATCCAGAACCACCTCTGACATCTGCAGCATGAAGGCCAGCGCTGAGCACTGGATCTCAGAGAGTTTCTTCTCTGATCTGTTCTCTGACTTCAGGAACTCTTGTATCTCCAGATGTACTGAGAGGTCGTTCATCTCCATCAGACAGTGGAAGATGTTGATGCTTCTATCAGGATACATGTTATCACTGTTCATCATCTTCAGGTTGTTGATGACTCTCTGGATGATTTCTGTACTGATCACTGTTTGACCCAGCAGACCTCCTAAGAGTCTCTGGTTGGACTCCAGAGAGAGGCCATGAAGGAAGCGAACAAACAGGTCCAGGTGGCCATTTTTACTCTGGAGGAATTTCTCCATGACTCTGTTCAGAAATGCATCGTATGATCGGAGATCCCTTCCAAAAAGCTTCTTGGTCATAGAAGTTATCTTTTGGAAGTAAATCATCTGCGTTCTCATCATAGTGCTCTGGTCCCAGACCTCTCTTGGATCCACGTAATCATTCACTAATCCTTCATCATCACTATAATTATCAGTATCACTATCATCATCTTCATACTCTTCCTCCTCATCCCAGATGAAGTTTCCCACCTGGGGACATAGGAAGTTCTCCACCACCTCTGTCTTCCTGTTGGTGAAACAGTGGAACATGTAGACTGCAGCCAGAAACTCCTGAATGCTTAGATGAACAAAGCAGTAGATTGGTTTGTGGAAGATCACACACTCTCGTTTGAAGATCTCTGTACAAACTCTTGAGTACACCGAGCCCTCTGTGACACCCAGACCACACTG